ACACATGAGTAAATCTTTTAAAATGCTCAAAATTCTTTTTTATTATAAATTAGCGTATTTTGCCATTATCAGCATTTAATTATTGTTCAACCGGCCACGCGCACACTTCCTCGTGGGTCAAAGTGCGGCGGATCACCTAACTCGTCCTCAGTGACGAGTTCAAATCTAGTTTTCGGATTAGGCTTATTCCGTCTCTAAATTAACTTTCGCGTTGGTGGCGCTGTCCAGAATGAGAAAAATAATACGAATAAATGACTTGTGGCAAGTCTAGAAATACCTAAGTGCACGCGTCATCAGTTAACAGTCGTTAGCAAACTATGCTCAGTCGTTCTATCAAAGTAATACTTGATCACAATACAAAAAACCTCGGGATACGCTTCAAGTCTCGGCGTATTTTTTTTTTTTAAATACAAAACGTTTTCCGCATGTAGGACTACACAGTACGCATTTAGGAAAACAAACTTTTTATTACCCCTGTAAAGTAAAGAATGCTATTAACGAATCAGTGAAGAACAAAACACAGACGACACAAAAGTCGGTGATAAAATGCTAATACTGTATGCTTATAACTTGAAAAGAAGGCTATTGACGAAGCACAATGATCAGAACAAAATACAGAGACTGAACTTCGCGTTACAGAGTCCTGTATAATTTTCATTATTTACAGGACAATCAAAATATATTTCTACGATAAACCCCAACAGACGCGGTATTGCAAAAAAGGCTCAATTTAACAATAGCTTCTTCTACCATGGGTCTCGAAATCAGGCACTGATTACAATTTTAACATGTCTGTGATAAAGTTTTTACTTCCCCTGGGCTGTTATGTAAAATTTAGCAGAGCTAATAATAATAGGGCCTACCAATCTTGGGAGTATTTTGATAGTTCTGTTTACAGGGTTTAATTTTAGATGTTAGTGGGGTAACTCCTACCAGAGGCAGTTTCAAGGGGACCAATCCGGCCCGGGGTGCCCCTTAATTTTTCAAATTTAAAAAATAAATTGAGATAAAAAGAAAATTCTAGGCCTACTCAAACTAAATTGCTTGCGGACGAAATTTGGCTCATTTTTCTAAATAAATATAATATATAATTAAGCTTTAAATGTTTATTGTACATTGTGGTTGATTCGGTGGTTAACATACTTCTGGTTCAAATCCTGTTTTAAAAATCAGTATTTTTTTTATGACTTCTAGCAGTTGAAATTTAAAATCCTGATTATAGCTTTAATAACTTTCTTAGCGTTACAGCAACGCTGTGCTAACGTTATCTTACTGACCACAACGTGCAAATCGATCAGTTGTTTGCTAGGCAGACTGCACGACAGACAGATGGACAAACAAACTGTGCAGTGAATACATAACCTCCTCTTTATAAATATTATACTGTAATACTCATAACAAAACTTTCCATCAAGATTATTTAATGTTATTATGTACAGTATTTGTATGTTCAGGCTAAATAAATATTAATAAAATTAAATTAATTATTATTATTATTATTATTAACGGTATTAATTTTAAATTTATTATTATTATTAACGGTATTAATTTAAAATTTATTATTATTATTATCATAGAAACAGTAGCTTAAAAATATTGTTAACAAACAAACAAGCATACAAACTTTGCAATTCACGTATTTATCACGTGATAAATAAGTTTGTTAACGTTACAGCAACGCTGTGCTAACATTGTTACCTTACTGACCACAATGTGCGAATCGATCGGTTTATGTTTACTAGGCAGACAGTACGACAGACCGATGGACAGACAGACAAACTGTGCGGTGAATACATAACCTCCTCTAGCGTAAAATAAACACTTACTGAAGAAATAACCCTAAAGGAATGTTTCTCGTCAGTCTGTAGTCTTTCCAGGGTTTCATTTCAAAACGTTCTGGATACTTTCCTTCTGCACGGAACACTTTTTCTACTAGCTTAGGATCCACGATCTCTACTATAAATTCATTTCCTAGCAAGTTCCGCATAATTGGACCGTATTTCTCAACATTTTCTTGGACCTAAACAGTATAAAAAAATGACCAAAATAAATAAATAAATGGATTACTAGTATAATATATTGTATTATAAAGCAGCATTTATAAAAATAAGAACTGGAAAAGTCAATATTTTTTAATAACATGTTATGATTTTGTAAATTACAGTATGTTTTAAGTTAAACGTCATCGTAAGCATTCTGTAGTTAAGATAATATTTTAAATAATACACAAATACTACTACCATGATAGGAAATTTTCAAAATACTTTATAAATATTATACTGTAATACTCATACCAAAACTTTCCATCAAGATTATTTAATGTTATTATGTATAGTATTTGTATGTATGTTCAGGCCAATTAAAAATTAATAAAATGAAATGTATTATTATTATTATTATTATTATTATTATTAATTTTATATTTATTATTATTATTAATTTTATATTTATTATTATTATTATCAGTGTTCTCCCGAAGCCGTCTTAGCCGTCAATTTTACCGGTAAAAATAACCAACCAACCAGTAAAAATTTTGAGTTTGTAAAATAAAAAAAACTATTGATTAGGCTTAGGTAGTCCAGGCTGGCCCTCTTAATAAATTAACATCATTCCAGTCTATATCCACACTATGAATATGTGTTGTTGTGTCTTCAAGTCATTTAACCCAACTAAAAAGGGGTAACGTACCTCACATTGTGCGCATTGCAATTTTTTATGGACAAATTTACCAGTAAAAATTTTTCAGTTGGGAGAACACTGATTATTATTATCAAAGAGAAGAAAACCCATTGCAGAGAAAAAATAATATGCATTTTCTACATATCAGTAGAAAATGCACCTATAAAATAAGCCACTGAAACCCCTAAATTGTCATATTTTTCGGGGGACATTGTTCGAGATATTTTGAATGAACGATGCCCGACCACGCCCACCTCGGGCCACCCCAGCATATTGTCCCCCTAAAATGTTACCTTGCCCCTCACTTGCCCCCCCCCCCCCCCCCTCCCACCCCGGTGCCACCACTGATTATTATTATTATTAAAATTAAGTACATTAATGTCATGATAAATACGATGATCACCCAATCTCCATCAACTTACATAAATTAACAACTAAATCTCATTATAATATTTAGTTGCTACACACACACACCCGCCCCCTCCCCCACACACACACCGACCATATAGATAATGTTGTTGTTGTTGATGATGATGATAATATTGATGGTGATGATGATAATGATGATGATGATGATAACAGTAACACAGATACTCCAAAACTTAAGCAATATTTCTGTTAGCTTTGTTTTACAAAGCTGTTTCTATGTTGGTATACTTACAAGTAGGTCTGTCCTTGAAAAAAATCCTTTTCGCTTTATGTAAATTAGATCAAAAAAAGTTTGCAGCAAATTTGAATTTCTGGTTGGCATTTCTTCAAATGTTTTCACTTTTTCTTGTTTATCTCGTGTCTCTGGATTGGTAAGAGTCCAGTCGGATCCATTTTTCAAGTGTACAAACCTTCTTATTAATGGTATGGATGCGGTTGCCATTGAGTTGCTGCCGAAATTGTTTACGGACCGAAGCAGAAACATCATTCTATGTAAACGATTAATGAATATGTAAAGGCAAAATCTTGGAATGTAGTTAGTTTTATTCATGTTAATATGTTAATTTAAATGTTTTTTTTTTTTTTTTTTGATAAAACAATGTTGCTTGTTTCAAAAAGAGCTTGCTTTATTACTGATTTTTAAAAAGTATTTAACATAGACGGTTTTATCTATAAGTAAAATTTTATATTGTATTTGTTATTTGTCAAAGGGCCCCCACACGACAGTGATTAAGTTCACATTTGGGGCATTCCTTTCTAATGTTCTTTTGTGCTTGTTCCTTGCAGTTTCTGTTCTTGTAAATATTAAAGAGACCCACTTTACGCATAAATTTAAATAAATGTGGACCCATTTTCTTAAAGGTTGACCTATTTCACGCAAACACATGAATAATCTGGAACCATTTTCTTAAAAATTGACCCATTTTACGTAAAATATCAGAGCATGACAAATTTTCTAAAATTTGATCGATTTTACACAAAATATGAGAAATGTAGACCCCTTCTTTGTGGACCCAAGAAAAAGTGTGTGGGACTGTCCCAACTGTCCCAATAGCTGGCTACGGCATTGATTCTCGTGGCTAAAGTAAGTAAGTGGGTCTATGTAGGCCTAGACTATACTATGCAACTGGTAAAATTATATATATTTTTACATAATCAAGCTCCAGTTCATTTTATTGGTATATAAGACAATAGAAATATAAAATAGGTATTATGAATAAAAATATGGAGCTTTCGATTGCACGACAACGGTAGGACGCATGCGAAAACGTTAAGTTCTTCTTTAGACGCAACGGTCACGCATGAATGATTCCGTTCTGGCGTCTAGCTCCCTATTACTAAAGGCCAACTCAGACAGCGTCGTACGACGCAGCCCGACGTGATTGGTTGTCGCGTCGGGTCTGCGTGAGTTAAATGCAGACGCGATGGTGTGCGTCGGGGGCAGTCGCGCCGTAGAATATTAAACATGTTTAATATTTCTCACGACGGCTTAAGACTGTCCCCGACGATAAATCGGGTCGGGCTGCGTCGGCCGACGCTGTCTGAAGTGGCCTTAATACAGTAGTACCCCTCCTTTGGGATACCCCTTTTCAGGGGTCACCCCTATTTAGGGGACACCCCTATTTAGGGAACACTTTTCTCACTACGGGATCTTTTAACACTACGAGCAAACCCTTAAGGGGACACACCTATTGAGGGAACGGGGGACACTTTCTGAGTGTGCAAAATGGTCAAATCAACACAATTTAACCCCTATTAAGGATACTTTTGTATATTGTATCAAAACAACTGCAGTAGCCTCGCAAAGTAATAATTTGAAAAATCATTCAAATTTATATACGTCTTTAGAGCAATAAACTTAACAATAACATCAAACCAGATTTTTTCCCTCTTCATCTTTAGGATTGGCATTAGTACCGTATATGCCCAGGGCTTGTGTTAATTCGTATAAATACAATCTTGTCAATTTTGACCATTAACCATGGAGGAATTCTTGTCTTGTGTGTTTCCATATAGGAATCTAATCTATACCCTACAGTCAGCATTCTGATTAAGTAATACTGTGTTCATAGTATTCTATCACAGTGCAACCAATAGGAAGCTCCATTATTTTAATAAAGAATACTCATTTGGTCATTAATATTGCCCACGGACCAAGAAACAATATCAGGAACATATAGCACTTTTGTAGTTTTAATTAAATATGTTAATTTTATACCATAAAAGAATTAATTTTTGGCATTGCAAATTTTACAAAAGTTGTAATTCAACTGAAACACATTCTTAGGTCAATTAAAATAAAATTATATAAAGAATCTGTCATCATTGTAGAAAACATGCCAAAAACTCCTACTAAGGGGACAACTTCACGTTTTTAGTTAGTGTTCCCTAAATAGGGGTAAACCTATCCAGGGGACACCCCTATTAAGGGTACAATTTTTTTTGGTCCAGAGGTGTCCAGTTAATAGGGGTTGTACTGTATACTAAACACCATATACCAAAACTTTACTGAAAGGTTCCGACAAGTCCGACACATGGGGTGACAATCCGAACTAAGGGGCCGACTATACTAGAGCCTCGGTCAGGGTCTCGCAGTGGCGGATCTAGGGGGAGGGTAAATAGGGCGGCTATAGCCACCCACACCCCCTTCGTTTACAGTAAAAAAATAAGGTCACTCGTCTTGTGTGTGCTTCTTGTGTACTCTGGTAAAACATACAATTTCTATTTTAAGTTTCTTACTTTGTTTCAGATGCCATCTAAGTTTACTAATTCCTAAACAATTAAATCTCAAATGGGAGGGGACGCCCTTCCCAAAAACAATCCCCCTTTGCGCGGTCCTTCTCACCTACATTATCTCCCCCCCCCCACATTGCTAAATCCTAGATCCGCCACTGGTCTCTGAACAAAATCCCCGCGAGTTCGTGGGGATATACTTTTATGGCAGAGTTAAGGCGGAAATCTCCGCTCAGACCCCACTGCTAGTAAGAATTAACTATATGGACCGACCAGCCCACTCTTGGCCACACCCTCAATACACTGTACACAATAAAGTAAAACATGATCTGATATAGTGTGATTCGGTCGCGATTTATTACGACAAAAGCCAAAGGGACCGTCGCACACGATCGGTCCCTAAATTAATTTCCATAGTAAAAATTCTTAAAAAGTGGCCAACAAGCCAAGCGGCAGGGTGCCACAGGACCACTGACCCCAAAAGTGTCAGCACCCAACCAGGGCTTGCCCTAACTTTTTTTGGTAACTAGCCCACTGGGCTAGTTTACTAGAGATTTTACTAGCCCACAGAATATTTTACTAGCCCACAGACAGGAAAAATTTTGTTTCAAAATATTTATTAGCGACAATTAAATTTGAAGGTTGATTTGCAATTTCATAATTTAAATTTCTGTAGCATTGCTGTTTGAGCTACCCTCTCAAAATATTGTTGAAAATAAATTAAAAAAAATCACCCATGATGCAAAATCGACTCTGGTTATAACAGGGACAGATGAGCATGTTTTACATCTCCCTGGTTATAATTTGGCTTTCTAATATTTAACAAAGGGCCCAGAAATCAATCAAACCAATGCATCTGTTAAATCTTTAGGTCTCAAGTCACTTACCCCCAATGGCAATAAATCTTGCTTAGGCTACCTATGCTAGGCTAGGCTACCTAGGCCTAGACAAGACCTAGGGCCTAGCCTAGCCTACCTATAGCATTGAAGTACTTATTATTAAAAGGTGAACATTTTAAAAATATCATTATGAGAAAATGATATGAATATAAGGTAGTACATTAAATTAAATTACATTAAACTACCTAAATTAACCAGATTGAACGATCAAACGATCTTCTATTGAGAGAAAGAGGTAACATGCCATCCTGTAGTGGTTGGTGAATGACTTGGGGATCATCTAAATAATTAAACACTCACGCATGTGGAGAGCTGAAAGCTAGAGAGTGTACTCGCTGGGCTGCGGTACCTCCTGTGCAGGGATAGTCTCGAAAGTTCCGCTTTTTAAAATTTTTTTTTTAAAGAAAATGTTTTTCTTGCTAATTCTCCACTAGACAACCGGGCAACATGAGGAGTAAATAGGCTAGCCCGGAGCGGTTTTTACTAGACATTGTACGCCGGGCTAGTACTAAATCGAGCCCTGCTATGCCTAGTATTAATAACTAGCTCATTTTTACATTCATTTGGTGCTCTGCCATTTTGGCAGGTCTTATGGCATCCAGTATTTTAGAGCTGCCTATTCTCAGCTCTTCTCTTAATTTGAAAATAACTGTCACCCTGTTTTTGGTGTGGTTAGCTTTAATGTACGGAAACAGATATCATAAAGGGCTTCATTGTCAATACAGCTGTCTCTTATACACATCTAACCCAGGCCTAACTAAAAAATTAAAATTGTCATAGTATGTAACTCAAGTTAAAATAACACTTTTCATTACTCGTGCAGCTTAATCAAATATTATATGTCATTTTAAACGACCCATTAACATGTAACATCAATGTACAGTATTTTTAAAAATTAGACAGACGTTCTCTCAGAATTTGTTTTGTAGACGTTTATCTGTTGATGACCTTTTGACCTCCTGAATTCTGCAATGAAATTTTCGGGTCGATTCAGCCGAGACGGCCCGAGTGGAGTTTCATGTAAATGTTTCGTACGGAAAAAAAAATCGCGGACCGTCAAGGCAAGCAAGGAATGCAGTGCATACCCTGGCTAAAACAAATAAGAAAATATAGTAGAACAGTTTCTGAGTTTGATTTGGCATTTCTTAGCCATAATCTTCTATATAAAGCCAAGGGTAGGAGAAGGGTAGAACAAGTCAGATCACAGACGGACACTACTGCTAGAGTAATATGGCAAAACAAACGAGTTTATTAACTGATACCAACAAGGCACCAACAGCAACGAACAGCAAAATGGAAGAGAGCGATAAAGTCACACTCGCCGATAGAGGGCGAGTTGTGCTACTGGCGTAAACCTTAATTTTTCGAATGGATTGCTGTAGTTTATTGGAAAAGCAAAGTTTTTCTACTTTGGTATCTAGAATAAGTCACATTCGGGCCTATCGCATCGTACTCTCAGCTGCTTAGAATTTCCATATGGCTGGTTTTCAATATATCAACCAATCACGTATTCAGTGAACGGTTTGCGAGTGAGAGCCTGAGAAACAAGCTTAAAACCGCCAAGAACTTGCAATTTCCTAATCAAAACAGCGAGAGGTCTCATAAAACAACCGAGTCCCGTAAAACTACAACAAATTTGTTTTTTTTTATTTTTAAAGTTTTGTTGGAAAAATGATTTTCAAAGCATAATCCACCTGGGCTGTTATTTGAAAATCATATACAGTACTGTAGGTAAAACGTACGTACTTTTCTCCAATGGTTAAGGCCGAAAAAGGTAACAATGGAGACCAAATAGGACAAATGTCCATATACCTAACTAAAGGTCACTGAAGCAAATACCCCAACACAATTCAGTAATTATCCTACTGACGTGATTAGTTTGGGCTTGGCAATTGCTTTAGACTTTATCTGAGATTCCATAGAAAATGCAACAACGATTAACTTTTCCGAACCACCGTGGTATATTTTTATGCCTACTTTGTACTGTCGTTCTATTGATTCTTTCGCAGCAGCTTATACGGATGCCAGTGTCAAAATTTAATGTGAGTTACAAACGTACAGAAGCATATTTCAATTAAAAATGTGGATAGGATTTTGTTACTAAAGGGCACAACAACAATAATTATATCATGTTGCTTGAAAGCTGACTGCTTGGCCCTTTTTCTTATTATTTAA